CTACGGGTCGCACAGCCGACACATTGTTCCAGGATCTGGCATTTATACCAGTCTGGCCAATGAAAACCTGCATTGCTTATAGAAATCAAAGTGATCAAAGGGTCATAATTTACGCTCTGATGTTTATTATATATTTTTATATATTATATATTTTTTCAATTTAGCTTCATAAATCAATTGCACAAGAAAAAAATTAATACCAGGGAATTATAAAGGGGAAAACAAATACAGAATAGTAAAAGGTTGGTATTTCAAAAAGGAGGAATGTGTTGATAGTGGTATTATATGTTAGCTAAATCTGTATGTAAATGTTTCGATTTGCGAACCCTCACCAGCAGGAGCTGCTGTTGTCCCCCATGTTTTCTACGTGGATTAATCCGTGTAGTTACAAATATTCCTGGATGCTACATGCCGAAATTCTGTCCGTAGAGTCTGCGGGGAGGGGCGGACCTCACGGACGTGTCAAGCACAAACCAAGCTTAACTCTTTCTCTCCCCTAACACCTGAGTTTTTACTGCAGCTAAATATATGTGTTATGTTTAATGTTCTAGACTTAATTACTGGCTCAGAGTTCATCTGCTTAGTTGCATTTACATCCTTGATGAAGCCAGTACAGTAGCTACTAATGCAACACAGCAGGAGCTATTAGGTATTGTTGAATTATTGCCTCTGTGTTCTTTTTGAGTGTCTGCTCTGCAGAGGTGGATAATCCTGGTCAATAAAGTAAAAATGCCTGCCTAATTTTCCCTCCTCCTGTACAGTTAATACGTTGATTAGCCCTCAGTCTGTGCTGTGAAGCTGGAAATGCAAATGATTAGAACTGATCTTTTTACTTTATAGACCTAAGTCATCCACTACATTTACTCAACCTACTTCCTACTGAAAGTTTTCCTGTTAAAAGTTAGTTTTCCTCTCCACTGTCATTATATGGATGTTTGATGACAGACTGCGGCAAAAGTCAACAATACAATGCAAGCAATTGTCCGCTGTGTCTACAAGGACATCCTGAAGGAGTGAATTCAGCAAGCCGTGACTTACACCTTAGATGGAAATTTTTCTAAGCAATCTGTCCTTATGATTTAATCTAATCTACTTGTCAAATTGCCTTGAGATGACATGTGTTGTTAATTGGAGCTGTATGAATTAACTGATTTGATTTGGATGTGTGTGTGTGTGTGTGTGTGGGGTGGGGGGGTGTGTGTAGTCTTCAAAGCCCTGTAGGACATTTTAGTTATGTCCTCAGAAATATTTTTTTTCAATAACTACCCTAATATTCACCCTTTGCACTTCTGTTTAAAAAATACATGATTGCAGAACCAAATAATGAAGGAACCCCACAAAGGTCTGTCTCTATCAGGTAAAAAGGCTTGAGGATGAATATGGTCAGAAATCTTCATATATATATATTATGTAAATATTTTAACCTGAGTCTTATTCATCAAAATAATAATGAAGAAATAATGGAGATACCTTAATCATTAAGTGGAATTTTCAGAGCTCAGAAACTCCCCTTCAAAAAAAGCATGATACAGGATATTTCAGTTAGATCTCATGTATGTCAGGATTGATTTGACCAAAACAACATTTAAAAAAATGTGTTTATAACATTTGCTTCCATGTTTGCTTAGAGTATATATTTTTCGATGCATCAATTGTGTGGATTCACACTAATTACAGCTTCTGGGGCCTTTACCCCTGCAGCCAATTCAACGCAAAACTAATCAAAAATCATTGAATAACACTATGTGGTACCTGTAAACTGCTGTTTGGTTTAGATATTTAAGAATAAATAAGTGTAAAAAATTAATAAATGTAGAATAAATAAATAAATAAATAAATAAGAAAAAATAATAAATGTAGAATAAATAAAAAAGAAATAAGTGTTTTTATTCTGAGTTTTCAGAATAAAAACACTTATTTATATAATTTTGCCATGTAAGATTAATTGATGTTTAATGTTTATTCTTGTTTACCGTATGTTTAAAAAGGAATTGAAGGGGACCAGCCAAGGAAAAGCCAAGGACGAGCCAAGGGCCTATCAAGGAAAATTTTTAATGGCTACTACTACAGTGTTTCTCTGAAGCTATTCACTAAGTTATAGCTGCCATTCATTGTGTGTGTTAGTATTTCACTTCTTCGACATTTAGTTGGGTGTTCATCTTAATTTGAGTAACTTACAAAATTTTTGCTGCGAAAAACAAGAATTCCCCTTCTTCCATGGAGGAGAGCGATGGACTGAGCTTGTAGTGCCAAAATAAAAACCCATAACTCATTTTTTCTCTTATATAGGGGACTTCTGGTCTAGTGCTTCTACTGCATAATTTTTTTTGTCCATGGGCAGTTCTAGACTGGGGCCAACAGGAGCCAGTGCCCCTGTAGAACTGGTCCTGGCCTGTTATTCCCCTGTACTGAAGACATAATACTAAAAAGCAAATCGTATGATGGTATGCACAGGAAAACACACAGCAATGTGTGTTCGTTCTTCACAGCTGTTTTAATTATGATTTCAAAATTAGGTTTATAGCTTCAGTCGTATTCAGATAGAGTCACAGTTTCATCTGTTAAATGTTATTTTGAAACAATTAAAATAAAATATTCCAATTTCTTACGGCTGAATTGATTAGTTTTCTTAAAGCAATCATTCTGATTGATAATAACTGTAAGTTTATATTCAAAATAAGTCTGAAATATGTAATATTCCTATTTCAGAAGATTTTTTCCCATGGTAAAAGATTTGTTTTATTTTAGCGAATAAAAATGTACTTTTTTAAACCAAGAATTAAAAGTACCATCTTAATTAAACCAAAAAACATTGAAATTTCACTTCATTTAGTGCCGAGCCACAAGTGGCTCTTTATTTCATCAGCTCTCTTAATATATTTTAAATTAAATGTTTTTTTTTTCTGTGCCTCCATAAAAACAAACTGGTCCCACCCTGATATGTACAGTGTTTTACAAAAGCAACCTACCTAATTCAAGTACCTTAAATTTTTTTAATTTTTATTTTGTAATCTTGCAACCACCAACTTCAATGCATTTTAATTAGATTTCATTTGCCAAACACAAAGTAGTGATTCTATTATACATATATATATTTTTATATACGTATAATATATATATTTTATGGCTGCAACAATGATTCCTTTGCAAATTGATGAAACAATTAATAATCCCACAGCAAAGGGTTCCTTAAAGAAGATTTTTTACGTGATTAAACCGAAGCAAACTAAAACATTTCTACTTGAGGAGCTCTGGATTGAGCTTATAGACAGACAGAAATGTCTTTTTTTAATCTTAAATGCAAAATGTTTATATTTTTTTCACAATTTTTATATAATTACTGCTCTAAGGGGGTTGCTCTGTCAGCTAAAGGCATGTTATGCAGTTTCTGTACTCCATTTAACGATTAATCGATTGCTAAATTAGTTGACTAAATAACAATCAATAATCAATTAATTATGTTTAATCCAATTAATTGTTTCAGCCCTAATATATATTATATAAAAACAAAAACACTGAGAGTAGAAACAAAGCATTTTTGAGATAAAGTTGGGGAGGCATTCGAAGCAAGATAATCTCTCGCTCTAACCATCTCATGAAACAGCATCTAGTTTATCATGTAAAGTGCTTAGATACCCAGCCAAAAGGTCAGTAGTGCCACTGGATAAGCTGTAGAGACTCAAATCTAGTCCGACAAAAAAAAACAAAAAAAAAACCTGTAGGACACAAAGGAAACATCTGAGAGAAACATGTTAGTGTTATTTTTTCCCCCTAATATAAGTTTGTGGTTGTAATGTGACAAAAAAAAAAAAAAAAACTCAGGCAGTATACCCACATTTGTAATGCTCTGGCCATTTTTATGACTGAACTTTCCCCAAAAATAAATAATAAAAAAATCGGTGCCGGTAATTATGAGTAAATGCTGACATCTACAGTTGTCTTCCAATATAAATGGTTTATGGTAGTAAAGTCACTCTAAAACCTGTGAAATCAATGAAACCTTGATTGCTCACCTTTTTAGAGTAAAAACACACATTCATAAGCAGTAATCAGACTTTCCACCTTCACCTTGACCACGAAAACCATCTGCATGTTTTTCCATGTATTTAATTTATTCTTAAAATATTTCATGATAAAAAAATGTATTTATATGACTATGCTTGCAGTGCTTCCTTTCTGTAGTGCTCCTCTCTGCTTCCTTTGTGGTCCAGATTACCAACAGAGAGAGGGTGGATTTGTGCGAACAAACACAAGCACCAAAATAAATTAAGAGATCAAAACCCATAGAGAGGAAATGAATCAGTATTCCACATCGTGTACAATACAATATCATAGCAAATTAGCAGATTTCAATGGCTTCCACTGACTACCATAGATTTACAATGTTCTGTTGGCTGCACATCAGTCTTCAAGAAATTATGTCACTTTCCTTTTTTTTGTCATTAATGGTTCTAATAAGACTGTGACTTGTAGATAACCATGAAAAGAAAGCAGCTACTGAGGTGTGAACAGAAAACCATAGACTACGAGCCAGCAGTAATGAGAACAGCATTTGTTCACGTTCTACTAAACTGCCATTGTGACCACATTTAAGTCCAATAAGCTTCTCTACAAAGGTACAACATATAAAATTGTTAAATATATAACTTTTAAGGGCCTTTCAAAATACATTTAATGGCAATTCTGAGCTCCTTTTTTCCCAACTCAACAGCATCCATGCTCTCCATAGATGTCTAGCATTTCTTTCAATGTGAATTCTGTAACAGTTCCATCTGAAACCAGAGCTACTGAAAAATCACAAATTAGGTTTTGTTTTTTTGTTGATACATAGTTATACGTATGCAGTACCTATATTTCGAGTTCCAAAATACAACTTCAGTCTGAGGGGGAAAAAAACAATGTCCAGAAGGTTTTAAAAGGACTTCTTTGATTAGATTGTTCTCGTAGAGATTTTGTAGAAACCCCACAAGTAATATGTGTCTTTTGTCACCTCGGTCATAATGATCATATTTGTTGTTTTGCTCTTTGGTCTATAAAAATAAAGGAGTTTCACTCCAGCAGAAGGCCTATTCACAGCAGAGAGTGCACAGTTTGGTTTTTACGGCCTCATCAAGTGGTCCGTAGCAACAGGGTTCGGTCTGTAATGATCCCAGCTGTGCTCTGGAAACTCCTGCACTACAGAAAGACTTGGAGAGGTGGTGGTAGTGGTGGTGAGGAGGCGGGAAATCCCTTTTCAAAATGCTACTAGCTCCTTGAAAATTGGATTCCCGATGACAAAAACAGTCTTTGAAGGTGTCCGGTCCTCCATGGCATAAAAGTTTTCATCGAACAGGCAGATGCAGGGACTAGGAGGAAGGCGTTGACCTGGTGAAAGACGGCGTGGGAGAGCAGACGGAAACCCGGAGGTGCAAGTAACAGAAGGCGGGAAGTGTTTGATAGCGAGTCTGTCTGGTTTCCCGTGGGAGATAATCCTCCGTTAGTCAGTCACTCCAGTGTATATGCACCTCTGGTTGTGTTATGACACCTGGAAACACAGGGAAAAAAAACAATTAGTGGGGAGGGGAAATTTATTTCTAAGCCTATGGATTATTTTACCAACAGGGCAATTATTACATATGGTTAACATTAAGAAAATATATAAAACAGAAAAAATGTTAAAAGTATATTATAGTTGAATTATAAAGGAAAGTGAAGAAGAAATGGTCTACAAACTGAAATTACGGTTCTCAGCTAGTAAAATAACACAAAACTGAAGAAGGTACAAATAAATAAAAAGTTACAAAATAATAATTTATTAAAATGAACTATAAATTTAGATTTTTTTTAAGATAAAGAAAATAAATCTAAAAACAGAACTGTCCAAGACAAATTAAAGTAACTTGCTAATGAAAGAACATACCTATTAAAAGGTGTAGAAGTCTTACAGAAAATTTCACACACAAGAGATATATGTATATTAAAAATGTCATGGTTTTCAACGTTTTCATATTTTTTATCCATTTTTATTTTTGTCAATTTATTATTTATTATTATTATTTATTTAAATTATTTTTGCTGAATTTATGTTAACCACTATGCATAGAAATCACAATGCAGTTTTATCAGCTGTTTACATGATTAAACATTGATTTTTTGGTTTTCGATGTAGTTATTCCTCAGTTTTTGTATGAGTAAATTTACCTTTCTAATATTGCAGTCAGGAATATGTTTTTTGCAACCAAAGACTAGAAAATTTGGGAGGAAATAGCAAGTTCCCAGGCAAAAACATGGTTTGTATACAAGTATGAAATGGTGATAGGAAAAGATAAAAGACAATGCATTGGTGTGAAGTTGTGTATCATCATTTTTCACAGCTTTCTAAACAGAAGATCCTTTCTTTTCAAGTTGTAAGTTACAGGGTATGCTATGTTATATGTCAGCAGGGAGCAGGGCTAAAAATAAATGCTTTTTATGGAACAAAAAAAGAAAACACATGAAGACCTCTGCAGTGTTTTAACATTCAGCTGCATTTTTCCCATTTCAGTAACACTCATGAAAAATTGTATGACATGAAATGCTCACAAAAATAAAACAACACTTTCTGCAGATGTAAGAAATGTCCCTCTTTGTTACTAAAATAAGGCAATTTAAAGGTACTTTGGCTGTTTCTTTAAAGCTCTAGGTAACTTCAGTCATTCATCTGCTACATAATTGACATAATGGTTTCTTCTACAATTTTTACAAATATGAATATCTTGCTCTGCATGGTGCCTTGTCATGGATATCAAATTTAGCTATTGTTCTTGTGCAAATGAGAATGTTGATTAAGGCTCTCTGATTGCACTGTGTTTTGCAAGTCAAATATTTAGACATAGTTAGTGAGTGTAAGCTAATAAAAGCAGTTAGTAACAGAGCAGAGACCGTGCAAAAACACAATCTGCAACATAGAGCTTTTTTTTCCAGCAGCCTCCTCACCATCTGGCCACTGCCAGTCACACAGTTAACTTGATAGAGGTACCGATGCCTTCCAGGAGCGTTACAGAGCCACTGAAGCCTAATTCATAATAATAAACTCTTGACGATTTCATGGGGTGCAATTTGCCATGAAAGAGGCAGGTGTTGAATAGAGTACTATCATGTATCACAGATGACAATGTCTTATGCTTTGGGAATATTAAACATCCCACTGACTCTCGGCTTATTGAAGATAATGTCATGGGTTTTGTTGGACCTGGACATGAAATGAGCCAAATCATTAAAGGTAAAAGCAAAGTCATGACTGCAAAATGCTTGGCTAAGTGCTGGCTGGAGTATTTGATGACAGAGCTTTAATGTGTTAGAAATATATTGGTCATAATGATGAAAAACAGAGAAAAATGGGTGAAAACATTACATAGCTGCATGGCAGGCTTTCGTACAAGGCTTTCCTGTTTATACACATACCATTGTGGAAAATTATTAATATCTCTCTTAGGAAAATATAGGTATTCTATTAAAACCAGCTGAAAAGTCGCATTAAATTTGATAGAGTAATAAGGCCGTCCCACTTCTATCACTCACACTCATTTTGGGCCCTAGCGTTTGGTTTTGTTCATTAACGTGTAAGAGTAGTGTGTTCCAATACATTTAAGACCCTTAAAATTATCCCTTTAGACCGAGGGTAGTCAAGAGCTGACTTGGAACGAAGTTGCTTCCCAGAACTCATCCAGTTGTGGAAATGAACTGCACAGATGTAAGTATATTTTTACAATTAATTTCAACTTTTAAAAACAATATGCATGACGTAGGTGAACATGTCACTGAAGTGCACAGGCAATGTATTACCGCGATTTAGTGGGCTGTTTTGCAAGCTGTGGTGTCCCATTTCTTGTCTCCCCTTCAGCCCTTGAGGTGGCGGTAAAACTTAAAGTGGTTTTGCTGCCACAAAGAAGGAAGGAAAGGGTTGCAAATAGCCAATGGATCCATGCATGATAGTAGGAGTAAGCACTCCTTCACACAAATGTTACAGCGAAGTTCTGCAACAACCCTGCAGTGAAATATCTAAATGCTTTTTGTTATTGTAATAAAATCAAAATTACAGTATTGGTTGAAATTAATCACAATTTTGATTTTGGCCGAATCGTTCAGCCCTAATGCAAATTTTTATGTGATTATTTTATTTACTGTAATGGGAGAAGCCACAGTGTCACATTTTGACTGGGTTTGTCACACATGCCTTTACATTGATGTTCATTCTAAATTGTTTATTATTGGTCATTATTATACTAAAAGGGTGGTGCAGATTTGTCAAGGATCAGCACAAAAACAGTCAAATAAAGGCATGTTCATGAATATGTAAGGGTTTTTAATTAGAGTTCTAAGGATTATAAATTACAGGACCAAAATCAGGACCAAAGCAATTTCTTTCCCCACCTGTTTTCTTCTTCCTATAATGCCTATATAACCTATATCTAAATGTAATAAAATGAAGGGAAATTTTTGTACACTCAGTTCTTGTCACATCTTTAAAAAGTGTCGATCAAATTCTGCGCTATTGTTGCAATGTGAATATGATTTGGGATTAATTATGTGCTTCAGGACCGCTCAAATTTCCTTTGAAATGACATAAAAGTCTTGTTTGTCGTGTGTTATTAATTTATCTTTTTAAGAATATTTCCACCCTTTGGAAGTAAGTGATTTAAAGGTCTATAAGAGCCTGCTTTTGGTCTGATTATCTAATTAATGAGAAACTGGGAAAAGCAGACATTCTTTTACATGCCCAGTGAGTGTATCTTCTTCAGTGCCGACGGCACAGTGTAGCTTAAGTAATACTGTTGGCTTGAAGCTGAGATAGTCGCAGCTGCATCTGTTCTAAAGCAGTGGCTCATATGTGTGGTATTCATGCCATGTGGGAGCCGTGGGACTTAAGCAGCTGAATTCGTTGACATATCCAAAATATATGGGGCAGTTTGACTTATCTGGTGATCAAACTTTTATGCTACATACAATAATGCATAGTCGGGTTTTTCTGGAGAGCTTTATGGCTCACTATCTTTCTACAACACTGAATACACAATATTTAATTGGATCAGCTCAGCGTTGCAATTTTTAGCACTAACTGCCACATTAAGACCTGTCTATAAGCAACTCATACTAAATACAACAATAAATTCTATCTGAACAGTGTAAAAATTTGGCAGAAAGCCAACTGATGTTCAATTTTTGCTGACGAGTTCTTGGAGAAGTATGCTATGTCTTGAGCCAACATTAAATAGCACCAAGAAGGAAGTTAATGAACCATCTTTTGTAACCTCTAAAACCGACCACGTTGTCCCGACCAAAACTCTGTACCACTTTTTAAGATCCCTGGACAGCCTCCACTCAAAAAATTCAATTGATTCAATTCCAACAGAATTTTGGTTGAATATGCCTTTAAACACTTCCTAATGATGAGTATAAAATTTAACTAAAATTTAGCCACATTTGGTCAGAGGGCAAACAGTTTCATAGATCTTGAAAACTCTTTTAAACTTCCAGTGAGCATTTATTCCAAAGTTGGGTTTGCAACAAAAATCTAATCCTGCTGCTCTTTAGGACTAGATTTCTTAACACATGTAGAAGTGCAGACTTTAGTCTCAGGAAGCGTATCTGATATGGATACAGTATAGCACTACTGCAAGATATACCATGAGCAGTTTTGTGTCAGTTGTGGAAAATTATGCCATCATTTTACCCAGAAATTAATCTAATCAGGTCCCAAACGAAATACTATTAACATTACTGTAGAAGTAAAACATTAATTTTATCTAAATAGGCTAATCAGGTTTTGTGGTAATTCTGTCTGAAGATTTTTTTTTTATTTTTACAGTAACTGAAAAGTTAATCAAATTGTCAATTCAGTATCTTGATAATACTTTTGATACTTCTACATATTAGCAATGTCATTATCTACATTTTAAAAGCTTACCCAAACAAAAAGCTATGATTTTTTTTCAACAAGGTGAAAATGCAACCAAGGTAAATCTGTCCTTATTTAATCAAATTCATTGGGTCCAAATGAACAGTAGATTTGACAAAAGGATAATATGTATGTAAGTGAAATAGACCCAATTCAAATGTAGATACATGAGGAAGCAAATTAAGCTATTATATCAGATTAATAGCTGTTGGAGGATTTGCCAGTGAATATTGTAGACAAAAATCATCAGTGTTAACATAATTTGTTCTTGTTCTCTTGTTATGAAGCAGGCAGACTGTTCTCTTGAATCCTATCAATACTTGTCTGGCAGGATTAGAATGAGTATAAGGAAAACATTTGCTTTAAGTGATGTTACTTAAAGCATCTTTTCTCAAGGCGGGCACTTGGGCTTTAATTTATAATTGATAATTGTTGCATCCCATTTATTAGAGATGAATATGTTCAAAAGCATAAGCAAGGCATATAGAGTCACCACGTCCATGGGAGTTATAGGGGTAAGAATGTGCAAACATGGCTGTCCTGGGTTGAAATTTTCAGTGTGAACTCTTCCTGACTCCATTTCAAAATGTCACTCTGAGACCTGCCAGGAATGTGTGAGTGGACACTACACAGACGACAAATCTCCGTTGGCTCCTCAAAGTATTTATCTTTGTTAGATGCGAATAACGCAATAGTTAAATGACAAAATCATTTTTTTATATTCATGAATATCTCACCTTCCTTTTTGCATCACCTTTCTCTGTTTGCTCTAAAGACTTTTTACCCTTCTTGTTTTATGCCTTAAATCTTGTACACTAATGCATATTCTCCTTCAGACTACAACAAAAGCTTCCTGGATGAATATTCATAAGAGAATGAGTAGGTTAGGAATGATCCACAGGTTAATAAGGGACGGGAAATTGCTCATTACATGCTGTGATGTTGGATAATGCCTTAAGCAGATGCCTAGATCAAAATCCATGAACATGCATGCATGGGCCTCCAGACGCAAGTCCCTGTCTCACATTAGGGAAGAGTTCAAAGCTATCTGGGATGTTATGTCATTATCAGCCCTTTCATACTGCATTTCCTTAGAACATCAAAGTAAACATATTTCACTATCTGCATTCAACAATAGGATCAAGACTAAATTCTCCAGACAGAAAATTAAAGCAAAATTTACTCCTGGTGGCATCCGACAGTCACAACAAAATGTCACGATTTGTTAAAGCTATGAAATAGCTTCTTCGACTTGTAGATCATCAAAAGTATTCGTACCTTACAAATTAATTTATATTATTGAGATTTCAAAGGAAAATCTCACTTAGATGTATCTCTCCACTCTCTTTATGTAAAGAACATGAACATGGTATATTATAACTTTCCTATAGTAGCTGATATGTACATTTAGTGTAATATTATTGTTGGATGATAAATATTCAGTTTTAGGTTTAGACAAACATCCTCCCAGCTTCAATTTGTCCCTACAGTGCTTTACCCCTTTGATTGTGTGTAAGAAGATGTGCATGTAAGCCAAAAAAAAGTCTGTTTTGGTCTCATCTGATCAGAGAAACGTCGTTATACCCTACATGGGTCTAGTTTTTGGTGGTACACAAACAAGCCAGATCTTTTTTGTCATTATTTTATCTGGCTCTTCTATAAAGGTCCTCCTTTTTCCACCTTAGCTGAGGATCTCCACATCTCCACCAAACCAAAAATGAGGCTGTGTCTGTTTATCTAATTAATGCTCTCCTTTTTTGTCCTATAAGTAATAATAATCTAAAGTTAAAGTAGATATTTGCAGCTTGGGATATTGTTTCTTTTAACAGAGCTCTGTTATTAACCTTTTACAACTTTATATCTAACTTTATATTGTTATTCATTATAAACTGGTTTATGTGTCATAAACAATGCAATCACGACATTGTCACCTCTTTATTCATCACATAAATAATGTGCCTCATGAAAAACAATTGCAAATTTTCTTTTCTTGTTCATCCTTAGACTGTTTTACGCACAATAAACACTATGAAGATAAAATGAAGAATTGAGTTTTTCATGATCAGCATGTCCCGTTCCATTTTTTTCCCCCCTGCCAATGTAATACATTTAAGATTTATGTTTTTATTCTATAACAAACCTCTGAGACCTTTAGAGAACAGAAAAGCAGGATTTCCTACAGTTGGACTATATCTCCTATTTTGGCGACTAGTGAAGACAAATGTTTGCAGTGGATTTTATTTTGGTATCTTAGCGAGAGGTGGTCTGAGTACAAAAATACATGATGCACTTTTCAGCTTTTTAATTTGTAAAGAAACTTTAACGCTGTCTTTTTCAAAATATGGCATAAAATCCCAATAAATAAGCAGTTTGTGGTTAAAATATGACCAAATGTGGAAAGGTAGAGGAGGTATATAGTATTTCTTGATTAATGATTAAATAAAAAATGCCTCAATCCAATCCGAGGGTAAAGCTCCAACAGTCGACAACGGAAATTGAGCTCTGGTTCTAAATATAGTCTTGCATCAGCAGTGGACACAATCACTTGGACTGAAAAGATGCTTTAAAACCTAATCATAACATTGGTCATAAATGGTGATGGTATTGACCCAACAGAAGAGCGTGGCTTTCTCCATGAGAGGGGCCATCTTTATGACTTGGGTCTAGACCCTTTTATTGCGCTACAAGTTAAATTTACAGTACAGCTACTCTATTTCCCAGTCACATGTATTAAAATCCCAGTCTGTCTGGTGCCCTGTGTTGTTTGTCTACAGGACACAACCTGTCATAGAAGGTATTTGTAAGGGAAAATATAAGGTGTGCCTATAAAAGCAAGCCAGCAAAAATGAAATAAATATTTTTTATTGGATTTGCTGCACACATGAATCTTCAGCAGTTAAACATACACAAGGGGAAATGGATAAGCTATATAAACAGCCAAACTGACAATTTGTGCTGTTCTGTGCAGTATTACATTTTAAGGATAAGGCTAAGGAGACATCACTAGAGAATGCAGGATATTTCCAATGTATTCATACACCTTAAATGTTTTTAAATTTTACTCCATGATGATTTAAAGTTATAACAAATACAAATTAACTCATATTTAAAAAGCACAGGGAAAACTATAATTACACTTTTAAAAAAAATAAAAATAAAAAATTCTTAAATTAAGTACCGGTATATTTCGCCTTAATTGGAGTATGTAAAAAAGATGATTTGCCAGGGGAATGAGTATTTTGCTCTTAAAATAAGAAAATGAGATACTATTCACAAGAAATAAGTCAAGGCAATTATTTATTCTTTTTTTTTATGTGTATTTACTTGTTCCAATTGGCAAACTGTCTCACTTTCCAGTTCAATTCTATATAAAATCAACTCATTTTATATTATGTTGGTATGTAAATGTTTGTTTACATGT